GCGGTGCCAGCTTACTGCGTTTTCTCAGCTTGAGCCTTGAGCAAGCTTAGCCGGTGTCAAGTCGACCCAAGGTTCCCAAAGTGACAGATTGCGGCACGCTATCGTTGCTTGGCTTCTCCTTTCTCTTCCATTCTGATCTCACAGAATAAGTTTCCACCCACTATTCATTCGTACACTACATGCACTACCTACGGAGTACAGAATCCATGTGTACGCGTAAGGCAAGGTATCTCTTCCCCTGGATTTCTATGGCGAGGTACCTACTTCATGAAGCGGGTCTTCTGCCCTGCCGACCCCATGCTCGCCCGACCTTACCTACCTTACGTAGGAAGCAACCGCTGTTTGGCCAGTCTTACGTATCTCGCAGGTGTTCCGGATCGGCAGTGGGCACACTCTCTCGACTCCAGTTGCCATTTTCGCTAAGTTGCCTCTCAACAAGGGTTTGAAGGCGGAGACAAACGCTGCACTCCTCGAGGTCCCTGTGTTACCTTACTGCGTTGGCACGTTGGTAAAGACCGTAAGGCGCGCTGCTATTCGTAGGTTTCAAGTATCCGCAGCCTCTGGCAGGTGCGACCTACCCAAAAATGACCCAGCTACCTAAGGTAAGGTGTTAGCGGCCTTTTGAATCTAGCAGTGATAAGAAGATACAGGATAAGAGAGAGATAAGGCAGGGTAGGTAAGACACCTCGAGGTGGTTGATGGGCAGGCTGATGCGCCATCTCGCTTCCTAATTTCGCTTTCGTTCATATCATCACCAAGAAGAGATCAAACTGCACAAACGAGCATGCACTACCTACTTCACGTTATAATCATTACTCGAACATCTTCCCTCTTGAGAGCGATGAATGATAGCACTAGGTAGATGTCAGTTATGTGGCAGTTGACTCCAGCCTACCCATCCGTTGGAGCCTGAGATTCGCACTAGGATCCAAGGCATGATAAGAGAAAGATACCTTACATGGAACCTTGGAACTTTAGCACGGCTCTTATCGATGTAGGCAACTGAAGAACACCATGCCCTTCTACAGGACTCATCCAAGCATATGTTGGGCATTCTAGATTTTCTTATCTTCCCCATGTCTTTCAAGCATCCCTAGGCCAGTACGGGATTGTAGGAACCATGAGAACAGGCATCGAAATCTCATATCCCTCATCAATTTTCCTTCACATCAACAACCTAATGATGACGACAACGACGATGGCAGTGACGAGACAACCCCAGACCTTCCATATGCGCCCGCAAAATGCAAGAGCAAAAGTCGCTTGTGAAGCGCACCTGCCTTGCTGTAAGATAACACCAAGGTACCAGGCAGGCAGGCACCTGCATGTCTCGGATCTTCCTATCTCAACTACATGTCGTGCGTCTGAGATAACCTGGTGCTTCTGAACCAATGTTGGCTTGCTAACTTCACGACTTGGCCCCTGTCCATACTTGTCTCAGGCCTATTTTCTCTCGTCCTTCTCTCTCTCTCTCTCTCTCTCTCTCTCTCTCTCTCTCTCTCTTGCGATGACCAGTCTTGCACCACCCCGCCATTGTTATCTTCTTTCGGAAAGCACCCCACAGTCGTATCGCCCAAGGATTCTACCCCACCAAGAATAAATCTTCAAGAATCAAGATATAGTTGCTGGCAGTGAGCCATACAAGTCATCACCCACGTATGCATTTGCTGAAACAACTACTCAACATGTCTGCCGCTGCTGAATTATCGCTAGCTCTCGAATCTTGCACTGCCTTCGATTCCGCTTTGGCTCCATATGGTCTGATGGACAGGCCACAAATCGATCATGCTGTCCGAGCCGTTGGCTGGGCTCGTGAGCCTTGGCTGTCAGTTTCAGTCCGAGTGCACGCACGGAACGAACTGTATGCTACCGGGTCTTTTACTAGTACCATAGACCAGAGTCCCGAAAACATAGTTTCATAGACCAACATCCTCGCCGGGAGGTTGCCGATCGCGGGGACCCGAATATGTCGCGCCCTCGGGTGACAAGTTGATGGAGTTCGTCTGCGGAATAGTCTCGGCAACAGACAGGTTGTTTGGCGGGAGGTCCTTATTAATGGAGCAGGTCGGGGATTTGCCAAGGCCGTTCCCGAGAGCTTGGACGTCTTGCAGGCATTTTCGAAAGCCAGCTTTGCCACAACCTGTTGATTTCTATCTACGGATACTGCGCAGGTCTGCACGTGTTTGACAGTGTGACAGACTGGCCATGAGTCGGCGTTTCTGCGCTACCATCGGCAGAAGCCGTTGGGCTAAGTTTGAAAAGGGAACGAGGCCAGGGCTCCCGGCAGAAGGTAGCATGGTTGCGGGGAAGAGGCACACACCGTTCTTTGGTTCATCGGACTTCCCGTCTCTCCCTCGCAAAATGGCACGAGAATGCCTTACTTGGTGGGACTAAGGCCCGGGGGCATGGCACGATATTGCCCAGCCGCTCGGGCTTGATAGGCCAAATAGAAGCAGCTATGGATACGGATACGTGAAGCCTAAGTAGCTCACTACTGACCCAGCTTCGGGCCCGTACTATAGCCTTCACCGTTGCGTAGTTCTGGAGGCGGCCGCGGCGGCCTCACCGCATGAGACGGCGTTGCCGCTTCCGGCGGCGAATTTCGACGGCTGCGGCCACACGACGAGCCAAACAGCCCAACCAGCCTTCCGGGTCACCACAGTTGAGTTCGGCCGGCCTCTCTTCCTCATCTACGATACGCAGAGAATGGCGATGGTGTACAAGTCACGGTGGCCTCTTCAGACTTCGTGGACCAGGATGCTCTCCTTTGGTCCACACCCTATCACATCTCAGTCAAGACGGATACTCTGCGCTTCCAACAAATTTTTTTCTTTTGCAACGGGCCGACAGGGAGATTGACACAATTCGCACTGCCGCTCAATGCGACGCAAAGTCAAGCAGTCGAGGACATGGGATTGGTGCGTCCACTGCATCCATGGTTTCCGTTTTACGACACCACCATTATGTTAGCTGGGCGGTCCTGCGCAAGTGGTGGTTGCTGTCTGTCTTTGGCGACAGTTCCATCGGCGTACAAAAACACACACCACAAATAGAAGGAATCATCAAAACCCTTGTCCACAGGGCTACACGTCACATTTGCAGGGTCTGATCGGGGAAAGAAAGATACTTTTGCCGGACGTGTGGTCTGTTCCAGAACGTGCAAAAGGTGGGTTCGAGCCCATCTTGTCTGGTCGCCCACGTCGGTCTGCCTCTGGGGATCGACTCAGGCATGTTGCCGTCGAGCCTGGGAGATGCCGCGGCTCGAGCTTTGCCTGTTTCTTCTCTTCTTCTGTAATTTTTTTTTTATGGTTTTCCATTCGGATTGGCTTCGGGGGTATAGTTTGATAGCGAAATGTATCTGCCGCAGTATGGTCAGCGGCCCCTCGAAGCTCCGGGGCCGGTTTGGCTTGGTGAGATGAGAGATGAGGTGATGGGAGCTGAAGTCGGCTATGTATTGAATCATTCGCTCAAGTGACCATCGGCGACGCAGTCCATCCATTGGGATGCCTGGAATAAGTCAGTCCCTTAGTTTGGCATTGGCGGCGGCATGGACAGGTCTGGTTGCCGGGATGCCACATGGAAGGTCGGCATGCTTTGGTTCTAGGACTATGGACATAGGTACACTACGAATACTAATCAGTAATCGACTACCTAATTAGCCCACACCGTATTGTGCATTTGTATAATGCCTTTGAACACCAGGCCAGGTGTCTTGCAGTGAGTGCCTCACTACGGCACCTTTGTCGATTCAGAGTATCGTACACCGACAAGGATGTGTCGGGATGTTCCAGCCCGGCCAAGAACGGCGGTGTCCCTGGCCAGTCCGATTCCGATCACCAGGAATGCAGCAGCTGGACTCTGTAGACTAGCGGGAGAGGTAAAGCTACCTTACGGACCACGGTAGATGACGGTGTAGTCATGCCGCAAGACAATATGGAAATGGATGTGTACCTACGAGTAGACGAAGATGGTGTAGGAAGCGAGAAAAAAGGGGGCATGGAGTTTTAAAATTGAGGTAAACTACAGATGGATGAGTCTTTTGATGCAAATTCATTGGATTTGTTGCCAAGCCCAAGGTCCAAGGTACTTGAACATAGTAGGAGCAATTATCCGTACCTTACCTTAGGTACCTTACCTTACAGATAGATACCTTGGTAGAGAACTCCCGGCAAAGGATCCGTACGAATAGCCCAAGCAAAGTAGTTAAGAGGAAGGAGCGGAGGTGGAGGAGGCGGAAGAAGAGGAAGAGGAGGAGAGAAGGGCATCGGACAGGATCCCGTCTTTTCCTCCCTCGTGGGTTCCTTCCATTGACGCTATCCCTCGGGTCCCTCCGATATTGCCTGCTGCTACCCAAGGTAAGTTAATAGCAAATAGCACCAGAGCATTCTCATCAATGTTTCTCTCCGGTACTCTCTGAGTCCAGTCTTCTCTGCTCCCGTCTCCGGTGACTGACATGGTACCTTTTTTTTTTTTCTCTTGTCTTCTTGATTTAATGACCCATGCACTTTTTTTCTTTTTCTTTTTTATGTTGGTTCCTCCTGGATCTCCCGCTCCGGCCCCCAAAAGTGGCACCCTTGCCTCTGAGGTACCCTGCGCCCTCCCCTCCTCCAATCCAGCCCCCTTCTTGCCTTTTTTTTTGACGGGGATCTGGACATGCAGAACGGATGAGAGAACCCCTCCATCGTCCCCCTCCAAGCCCCCCATTCCCTCCCATGTTTCCCCTCCGACAATTTTTTAGTCGGCCGCTCTCAGCACACCTGGCTTGCGGCTTGCGGCTTTACCTGGGACTGGGACTGGGACTGGGACTGGGACTGGAAGTCTGGGACAGAGTACGGAGTACCTAAGTAAGGTACCTCACCGCGGACGGGACTGGGCTACCTAGCTGCTCGGTACCTACCTTACCTACCTTAGTCTTAAGCGCACCCCCACAGTCACATTGCACACACACACACACACACACACAACACATCAACTTCTCACTAACTTATTATCTGTTCTAGTCCTCACTAAAAAAGTCCAGCCCACCTCACGCTGTCTCGTCACTTTATTATTCTGGCCTCCCGCCTCGCGCTTCCTTTCCCCTTTACTCTCTGGTCGGCTCTTCATCTGTCTCTCCCTCACGTCACGGTACGCCCACGTTGCATCTAGTCAAGCTTCTCAATTCCAAGTCAAAGCCCAAGCCCGGCACGGCACGAACACCCCCAGACCTGAGCAATTCGCAACGCCCTCGTGTGGCACTCGTACCTAACCATACAAAAACCCTGTTTGCGCTCTCTCAGCCATCTTCGTCACTTCCGAATTCACCCCCTCTCTTCCCGCTTGCTCGGCATCCCCCCCTCCCCCTCTCGGCTTCAACTTCACCCAACCCAGACAGGCACCTTCGCCTTCTCCACCGCCGTACATACCTCCTTCAATTGGAAGCCTCGCCGTAGTGTACAAATCCCACGAACCTGGTACCACAGCACGTCCCTTTCGCGCATTCGACCACAGTATTAACGAATCGAGAGACATCTGCTAGGATGACCTCTCACGGTACTTTGAAGGCGACCTTCGCTGGCCGCGCCGAATCCGCCAGCCATCCGCTCACAGCCTACCTCCTCCGATTGATGGACCTGAAGGCATCCAACCTCTGCCTCAGCGCCGATGTTCCCACCGCACGAGAGTTGCTCTACCTCGCCGACAAGGTCGGACCGTCCATTGTCGTCCTCAAGACACATCACGATATCGTCTCCGGCTGGGACTTCAACCCGCAGACTGGTACCGGCGCTAAGCTCGCGGCACTAGCTCGCAAGCATGGTTTCTTGATTTTCGAGGATCGCAAGTTCGGTGACATTGGCAACACGGTCCAAATGCAATACGTCGCTGGGTCGGCAAGGATTATCGAGTGGGCGCACATCATCAACGTCAACATGGTTCCGGGCAAGGCCGCCGTCACAGCTCTCGCAGAGGCAGCCGCAAGATGGCGCGAAAGGTACCCTTACGAGGTCAAGACGTCGGTTACGGTTGGAACCCCGAGGTCGGAGAGTTTCGACGACTACGATGAGGACAACAATGGGGATTCGTATGAACATACCATTGGCACTCCACGACCAAACGACGTCAACGGACGCAAGGGCAGCATTGTCTCCATCACGACTTTGACACAGCACTTCGAACCTGCGCCTTCCCCTCGATTCCCGAGAAACGAGTCCCACAGCTCTGACGAGGTTCTGTACGCCGGAATCGAGGAGGCCCCCATGGACCGTGGTCTTCTCATCCTGGCGCAAATGTCCAGTGCCGGTAACTTCATGAACAAGGAGTACACCGACGCTTGTGTCGAAGCGGCTAGGGAGAACAAGAACTTCGTCATGGGCTTCGTGTCCCAGGAGAGCCTCAACACCGAGCCAGAAGACTCTTTCATTCACATGACACCGGGATGCCAATTGCCGCCGGAAGGTGACGAGGAGAACGGCGCCGTTGCGGGTGACGGCAAGGGACAGCAATACAACACGCCTCAAAAGCTTGTTGAGCTTTGCGGCACTGATGTCGTTATCGTTGGTCGTGGTATCCTGAAGGCGGGTGATCCTCAATCGGAGGCCGAGAGATACCGCAGGAAGGCCTGGAAGGCCTATCTCTCCCGTGTGGCATAGACGGCTCGTCTCTTACACACACATCCACCACCCTCCTCCACCTGTCCACCAAACTCATACACACACCCAAAGTCAATACCCAGGCGTGTTTTTTTCCATCGTTTTTTTTGTCCCCAGTCGTACCGACGTCGGGGCGGGCTTTTACGCCATATTCTCTAGGGTGCTACTGCTGGTTCATGCATATTCGGTTTTGCAATGGTATTCATGTCGTAGAGGATGGGGATTCGGACTCGGCACTGGGGCGATTTCTTAGACGGGGGGACTCGGCGACCCGGAAGACGGGTGCAAAATAAAAAAAAGGGATCGGCGTTGATTTCTGCGGGTTCTACAAATGCAGGTCTTGCATGCGGACAGTTGCAGTTCATATATCATTGAAATGACAGTTCTCTGCCACGTTTACTTGTCTATATGTGATGGCCCTTGCCTCGATCTCCAAGTCTGCTGCATACCCTTTGGATCGTGAGCAACACCGTCCGGCCATTCCATCGATCCTATCTCTGAGGTGTGGTAGTGGGTAAGATGAGTGGCTGGCTGCTGCTATCGTTCTCTTCTGAGTAGCTCCTTCTTACTCGGCTTACTCGGTTTACTCGGTTTTGAGATCAGATCAGATCCCTCGTCCAGTCAAGGCAAGGTGTCGGTGATCGGCTATTGAGGAAAGCATGTACCTGAGCTACCCTGAACTGCCGTTGATCGCGCACCCTTCTATAGCATAGCTTAATGTTCTGCGACAAGCTGACGGCAAAGTAGTTTCTCGACGGCATGGTGTGTGGCATGTGGCATCCAAGCATGCTACTACAAAACATGGCACGGGGAAGAGGAAAAGTGAAAGGAGGGACAGGGACAGGGATGGAAGGGAAGAGTTGAAGAGGTTTGCCCATAAGGTAGCCAGGTATGCTCCGTAGGCGATTGGACAACGGACTTTGGCGGACAATGGGCCAAAGTCCTAAAGCCGATGGACGAGATCCATGGCGGGACCCTCACCCGACTTAGTAGGGGAGACGGGGTCAGGTCCGATCTGGAGGCAGAAGAAGTCTACTCATGGTTGGAAAGGTAAATAGACTCTCTATTGCCACTACGAGTTTTCCCTACTGTGTACGGAGTACTCCGTAGAGAAAATGAAGAGAGAGAGAGGGAGAGAGAGAGGGAGAGGGAGAGAAGAGCACGTCGGGTCGGCGGGCAAGGTTCCCCGGGATGCAACATGTTCCCTACAAGTCCCGCGATGTGTGAGGTGCGAGATTCAAAAGATGAAGAAGGCTATTTTCCCCCCCAAACCAAAAAATGATGGTGAATTTGAAGCTGAGCAGTGTGCACCGTTGCCACGCGCACCAAGTAAGATCAAGCAAGGGGTGGCCAGCCGGTGCACAGCACCATCTCGCGTTGACTTCGACTACCGCACAGCACAAACACAACGCTATACGCACGTAAAGTAACGACTATACAAGTACCGGAAGCGCACCAACAGCCTTTTACTTCAAAAGGTCGTCCCGACTTGTTTAGACGACGACGATGCCGACGGATCGCTGACGCTGGCTCTATGAAAGGGCATTGGTGCGACGGGATCATGAGAGGACATTGGCCGTGTGTGTTAAGTGGACGTTGGGACGTGAGGGAACGGTGGGACGTGAGGCGTGGGATGAGATCTCTCTCGGTCTCATCTTACATTGATTTTTCGGCGCGCCGTGCCCCCTGTCGGCAGGCTGCCGGCCCTACCCCTCCACGCCGTGTTTCCTACTGTTCGGGTCCCCTTTTTTCTCTCTTCGACCTCCTGAAAGGCGATCCGCGGAAGACGAATGGCACGATGCTTTTTTGCTGTTTGAACCCCGACTATTACCTGCCCTGGGCGAACGCGAACGGTGCGGAACACGGGTTCTTCTTCTCCATGCCGCCATGACCTGCAGAAGTCGGTGTGTACAGGAAAGCCGGAGGGAATTCCATATGGCTGCCTGGTAGCTGTGACCTGGGTTGCTGTCCCCAAGAACCTCCAAGACGCCTCTCAATGTGACCTAAGCGCTGCCGATCTAACGTCGAACAATACAGGTAGGTAGATATCTATGTCGGCGAAGGACTAGAAAGCTTGGGCGGAATTGCGATGGGACAAGCTGCAGATCAGCAAATCACAAAACAGCAGCTAGCTGTCTTTGGAGCATCGTTGCGTGACCCTTGGAACCGGCCGTTCGCTCCGTCGGTGTCGTCAGAGTATGATGGAGTGAGTGGCCAGGCAGGGGGTGGGGTGGGATGGATGCATCCATGGATGGGCAATGGATTTTTGAATCTGATGTTTTTGTTGTTGATGGGCTTTTGTTGTATCCCGGATGGTACACTACCTTACTTTGTCCAAGGCTGGTTGGTACATTTTGCATACCTTACGGATACACTACCTTACATTAGCCATATCCAAGTGCCGGCCGGACGTGTAAGAAAACTATGGGGATTTAGAAAACGCCCTTTGACAACGGGAGTTTCTTGTTTTTCTCCTATCCCTCGGGGCTTCAGGGATATCCTACCTATTTTACAATTTGCTGCACCTTACCGAGTACACCTTGCGGATACCCAGGAATCGAAAAGGGCAAAACGAAAATACGTCGACGTACCTTACCTTACTTTACTGCACGCAGCACCGTGTAAGGTACCTCTCCGTAGTCCATACCTTAGAGACAAGACAGGATCAACTCCCGGCCCCACAATCCAACACCGCCGGCCACATGCCTTGCCTTGCTCTTGCCGCAGACCTGGACTGGAACTGGACTGGAACTGGAAGGAGCGCAACTGCCAACACCAGGTGCTTGCTTGCCTTTGCAGCAAGTTGAGTGAGTTGCGTGTGTGAGAAGTTGAAGCCTGCCTACCTTATCCGTACCTACCTATACCTATACCTATACCTTACCTAGGTGCCCGGCTACCAAAGGGAAAGAGCGAGGGCCTGCCACTTCTGGACCCCGGTTGCCCATATTTACGAATACGCTCACCATCGTCTTTCCCAGCCCCGATCGAAATACCAACGACGTCTGTCTACTTTACCCTACCTTACCTTACGCAGTAGCAGCTGCTGCTCTCTCTTTCCGCCCTGGCGTGTCTCCAGTCCACCACTCTACCACTCTACCTACCTTACCTTACTCAATCACCAGGTTCCGCTCTCTCCCACACAGTGCCCCAGTCTAAGGCGACATCTGCTTCGCTCGCCGACGAGAGTCACAGGTTGATCGTGGGCGGGTCCTGTTTTCCAACTTTTCCCACCAGTTCTGCTTCCGTAATCGTCCATCCCTCCCTCCATCTCTTCCGGCAGCTGTCACCGCGAGGAACCACGACCGAGATCAACATTCACCGGGTTTTCTTGCTCGTTTCGCCTCTCTACTGTTCCATTTCAGGCCTTGCGCCTGCCTGCGCTACTCTACGAAAAGATATTCAGACGCCCAGCCAACTCCATCAACCCACGTGCCGAGCTCGCGGCGAATCCAGGCGGCTCCCACTTTGCGGACCGAATACCCTGAACCACTGACACAACCAATTCCCGAGGCGGCGACGGCGCCGACAATTCGAGAACGTCGTGCCGTTCCCCGAGTGCGCCTCCACGAACACGATCTTTCAACAACCACGTCCGCCGCGCAGTATTCGCCGTATATACGCATACACACATTTACACGGCTGGCCATGGCCGACGATCGGCGGGACAGCTCTGAGAAACCACCCTCGGCGCGGGATGGTCAGGACTCGAGCACAAGTCCAACTCAAACACCGACCCAAATGCAGAACCAGAACCAGACGCAAGACGCCCGACCACCGCCCAAGAAGCGCAGACGCGTGGTGAT